ACCAGCTACTACACAGCACATGTAGCATTTTATACCAATTAACAACCAGAAGCATTCATTCACTCATCCAACAAATTGCCTGTAGGCTTAAAATTACAAAATTCAGTTTCAAACCCACATCATATACAAGCACCACCACCACATTATGACCACGAACTAACAAATTGGGCCACCCAAACTTTCAACGGACCCCTCTGTGATTTCTAAGAGCATTCAATACTCTGAAACCTAATCCTCCATTACCCGGACTTTCCCTTCCACCGCAAAACTAGACCTAATCTTGGTGAAGTTCCTCCGCAGGTGGCGGAGCAAATCTTACATTTGTAGGTCCTGCTACCACCACAGCTTCATCTGCAAATAGCAATTTGATAAATGAGGGTGTCTTCAGGGGCCGCCGACCGGACAACCGCGGATAGACATCTTCAAGAAAATAGTATGCATGACCCGCTATCATTCCCTGAACAACCACCAAAATTTTAGTTCATCAAGAATAAGTGGACAACATATGAAATACTGACATAAGAACTTCCCAAGGAAATACATGGTGGTGAATAGGTAAAGAACATAAATAAGATGAAAGAAAAGTGGTTCAACAGTTTTTGTGGAAATTTACCTTTTCCTATCCATTTTCTTCTCTCAAAAAATTATCTTGTATAACAAGTATATAATGATTTGATACTATATTGTTAGTACTAGCTTAATAAAAATTACACTCTATTGATTTAATAGATCACTTCAACTTTCTATCCAACTATTAATAGAAATACAATACCACCTCAGTATATACCTGCTGTCTGAGATAAATTTGCTTCTCTTGTAACCCAAATTAATAAATTCAACAAAACTAACTTAAAATCTAAAAGCACGCACCAGTAGATCCACCCAAGCACTAGCGCCAACAAGGACAGAGAATCCCAGAAGAACCTGCAACCAAGCAGCACATTTTACGCTCAAATGTCAAATGCAGGGTCTAAAACTCTACCATTATAATGCCAAATCCGCCTTTTACGCTTCTGATAAAAGAATACAAATGCTCAGAGCTTCTGGGGAAGCACTTAGAGAATATCTTAATTTTTTTCAAAAAAAAAAAATCAAATATAGCTCACTTACCCATGGTAGGTAGGCTGCAGTAAAAGTAAATAGACCCAGAAAACTCATATGGATAAAAGGATTTTGCTTGCTCCACACATAAACCTGCAAGGTATGGAAATTTGTAAAGAAACCCCACCGCAACAACAACCAGTAAAACTTTTTTTATTAAAAAATAAAAAGAGAATCAAAACTAACCATCATGAAAGTCAAGGAATTGCTAAGGAAGATGATTTTCGCAAATGACTCGGACAAATAAGGTATCATTCCCCCAACAAGTACAATGCCAGTTAGAACGGTGGCTCCAAATAAAAGCATGTAAAAGAAATCAGCAGTTCTTCCTCGGAAAGAATTTTCTTCAAGAAGTTTGCAGTATCGAGCAAGAAAGAACATATGGAACATAAAATCCAAATCTGCATTACAAGACCACGACAGAGCATGTTAACAATGGCAAACATCAACCTCTAGAGCAAGGACATACACTGAATTGATCAATTTAACTAGATGATAAAGCATGCAAAATTGCAAGAAATCAAAGCTCCATTTACGAGAAATGGAAGAAGTTCAACAATGCTTGTAATTAAACACTTCCTAATCTAGTGCGATTAGACCCAACAAAAGATAGATAGAACTCTCCAAAAAAAGAAAAAAAAAATCAAAAGCTCAAACTTACCCATTTTTCGGAAATATAGGAAATTGGTGATGAGGCGCCAGAACTGGTACTGCTTAACCACAAGAGTCGGGTTCAAGTACAGGTTATAAGGAGATATTATCTGCAAATATTTCAGGAAAATCAATCAAATTCATCACTTGAAAAACTAGTTAGTGAACAATGCACACCGGCACTACTCCTCTATGGTTTTCCATATGCAAAGCAATCAATTAACTTGGCAGATAGTTAATTAATTGCTTAATGGAGCAGTGAAGTAGCAGGCAAAAGGAATAGGTCCAATGTCAATAAGATTGGAGCCTATGTTATTGAACAAATTTTCTCCTAGGAAGAGGTGGGAATCTCTCTCATTTTATAATTTTAATAATTAAATATTGATGTTTTAGGAAAAGTACCATGTTTTTCATTTTCCCCAAGCAATAATATTATTTCCACGAAGAAGAAACTTAATAAATTTTTATTATTTCCAACTATGCCAATATTTTTTAAAACAATTATGGAATATTATAAATATATTCAAGATTCTCAAATATATATACTTACCGTTGCCCTTTTTTAAATAATTTTCGTGTTTTTCTACAGAAAACCCTAACTCTCTTTATACCTTTCCTATCCGTTTATTTATTTCATTCATTTTACTAATCCAGCAGACTCTTAACAATGATAATGATCTTATTATGTCCAAATGCAGCTCAAGTTGAATTCAACAACATACTAAAAAAACTCAAGTTCGCTCACCGTTAAGCTCTAAAGCTTTAAGAAATCCTTTATTTCCGTAAATAATTAAAGAAATGGAGTTGCATATGGATGGAAAACATTCCATCTAATAAATACTATAAAGCCGGCCAGATATTAAAAACAGACACTTTCTATCAAATACAACTTAAACCTACCTCATTCTCCCAGCATGTTTGAGAATATCATAACCAAACATTAACGTTACACACATCTCTATTTCATGGAACATAAGATACTAAATGTTAAACTTTCTCTTCAATCACAACTAAAACAAACGTCAAACAGTTTTTTTTCATTAGAGATTATTTCATTCACGCATAAAACAATATGGTTCTCGTGCTTAGGTATCAATTAGAATCAACCAAAACAAATTAACCTAATCCAATCAAACCTAAATTTCTTGGCACTATCAGAAACAGCTAAGATAAGCTAAACTGAACATCCAGTTATGCAGTTTTCCCTGCTAGACGTTGATAAACACAGATTGTGAGATGTACATTAAAAAAACAATATGAAAAAGTCGATAGATAAAGGTTCCTCGACAAAGAAAAAGAAAAAAGAAAATCGATATGTAAAAGCAAATTCTTTCAAGAAAATTATGACAATCTCAGTTCACGTCAACCCAAAACAATCAAACCCATTTTGCAGAAACAAAAGCAAAATACTGTGAACATCAAAAACCAATAACCCTATAAAAACTTCACAGCAAAACATGAAGACAAAACCGGATTGAAAATTAACCTCGAATGAATAACAAAAGTAAAACTAAAGTCTCAATCGGAAAAAAAATAGGCGAGATTAACCTACATCGAGAGAGCAGCCGATGGTGGTGACAATAGCAGCAGTGAGATACGAGCGGGTGATAATAGGCATCTGCTTGTACCACTCTTCAACAGCTTGAGCCATTTCTCTCTTTCCCTCGCTCGCCAACCTTCGGTTTCACAGAAACTCAATCACGATTTCCTGAATCAAATTCGAGATGAAGAGAATCTCTAGAAGTTTTCTGAGAGAGGAATTGAGAAAAGAGAAGGTTTTGAAGATCGAAACAAAAGATTTTTGTAAAAACCGCAGGAGACATATACATATATATATATATATATATATCCTCAGTGACAGCTAATGACGAACCTAAACGAATCAGGAAGCGCGTCCTCGTCACGGGCCAATAAGCTAATTTTTGCTTTCGAGTTCAAATGCTTCTATTGACAGCTAATCTCTTCTCAAGGCAGGGGAAATGCATGCTTATGTAAAATGGTCAATAGATATAAAAAAATAATTATAAAATATTTTGTTTAGACAATGAGAATTTGAATTATCTTATTTAGATTTAAGATAAAATGGAAATATATATATATATCAATATATAAATAATAAATATTCTGAAAATTTTAGTTGTCAATTTACAATTTACAATATACATTATAATAAAATTATTAAATTCCATTCATCATCCATTCTCGAAAAATTGAATACCATTTTTATTATGTTGACCTTTTATAAGACTGATATGTTATGTTTTTTGTATATGCTATATTAAGGATATATGTAAAGGATATCTTTTGTTTATATTTATTTCTTTATAATATATGCATGATCATAAGGTAAGTCGGTTTTAGTTAGTGATGGGTACGTGAGAGGAATATTTTATTTAGGTTAAGCATATGATATATAGTATATTTAAATAAGTCTTATTTTAAAATAATTAACACGTTAAACATAAGATATAGTACCTTAATAAATAGTTTGTTTGTGAAGAATTGCATACCATCTCAAATACTTTATGTTAAGTATATGTATTTGTTCACACAATAAAAATTATCCTCTAATGAATTCTATAATCATTGAATTGTTACCGATGAGAAAAAAATAGCAAGTCAAGAACGAATTTCTAAATAGAATTGAAGCATATATTCGAAAAAAGTGACTCGATTTTGTAGTAACGAGATTAAAAAAAAATATTTGTCTAAAATTTATGATATGTTGTTATGCGAATTCTATTATGGAATAATACAAATTTTCTTTCACTGCTTGAAATTTAAATAAAAATACATAGGAACGGGTTTGATAAATACGATTCATAGTATTAGTTTAGAGATTTGAGCAAAAATGACTATGATTTGTTATAAATGTCATTTTTATATTGATGCTAATATTAAAAATAATAATTTTATAAGTATACGATGATATAAACTTAATGCAACTATATGAACTAAGAAATTATGATAATTTTTCTATTTTTCAGTAAACAAATAATAAATAACTCTTTTATTCAGAAAAATCTTTACTGATATAATTATTTTTAAACTTCAAATTTAGTTAGAATTTATTTATTACGACAATTAAAATAAGAACACCAATTCAAAGAGTAAAACATGTTAAAAAACCATTCAATTAATTTAATATAAGAAAAAAAACTTATAAAAGGAGTTAAAAATTAAAATAAATAAATAAATAATAAAAAATTTTAAAATTCTTTTAGAGACAGACTATATTAAAAGATTATATTTTTTTTAATTAATAAAATCTAAAATATTTGTTAATTTTAAAGATTCAGAACCATAAAAAATATATAAAATTATATATATATATATATTAAACAGACTGATGTCATTAATATCATCTATCAGTAATTATAAATTATTATTTATAAATTAAAATTATCAATCTTCATTAGTCATTAATGTACATTTCAATATGGATGAATTTCATAAATAAATACATAAATAATATTATTAGATATATCTTAATATTTTTTATAATTCTCGACATATGTTATTTTAAAATATTATTTAAAAAAATAATTTAATAATCTAAAATAAATTTATAAGTACTTCCAATTTATTAATCAAACATATTAAAAAAAATTATAAAAAAGTATTTACTTATATATATTTTTGTACTAGAACTAAAATTCAAAAATCACTTACAACATATTCCAACTATATTATATAAATATAATTAAGGTAGCCATTTAAGTTGATGAAATCATAATATAAAGTACAAGAAATAATAATAATATAATAAAAATAAATTTATCAACTTCCCCGCACGTGGGAGGCAACAGTACGTGCTTCTTGGTTAACGTACCTCTCTGTTTTCCCCCATTTCAAATTCAAACTTCTCTCCACCCCAGTCAAATCCTGTTAGAAACACTCGTCATTCTCCTGCTCTGCAGTGATTCTCAGTGACCGGAAACTCAACGTCGATGGACAGGGATGGCCGGCAAAAATCTCCATCACCGTACAATCCGCCCTCGCTTCTCAAAGACATATCGAACTTCAGGACCCCAAAGCGTTCCTCAACGTACACGAAATTCCATTCCCCATGCCCGAAATTCTTCACCGCGTCCAAGCAAACACCGAAATCATCTTCGTTTGCTCGCCGTTCTACACTCGTCTCCTCCTCCGTCTCGGCCCGCTCCAAGGCCGCGAATGCCCGACGCCTCCGGGAATTCGAGCAAGAGCAGTTGCAGTCGTCCCGAAGGGCAGAAATTCAGAAGGAGCAGTCGCTGAAATCTCTAGAGAAGTCGCTCGCCGTTTGGCTTAACTTCCTCTTCGAGAATCCTAGATCTTGCGGATGTGACTTGTCCGTGATCAACGGGGATAGCGGCTATACCGGCGGCAGCGGTGATAGTTACATGGTTGGGACAGGGAAGGGGAAGAGGGAGTGCGCACGTGGGACTAGAGATTGTGTCGTTGGCATCGATGGAGCATGGCGGAGTCCCAAGAGGTTGAGGGACTCGTGGTGGCAAGTAGAGGAGAAACAGACTGAAAATGCAGTGTCGTTTCGAGGTTCGAAGTATTCAATGTTGAGTGAATCGCTGAAGGAAGTCTGTAGTTTCGATGATTTGAGGCAGCGTATGCGTATTTGTTTGAGCTTGGGCTGTTGTAGGGAGATTTTTGATGTCATGGCCCAAGTCATTAAGGTTTGTTTTTCAAATTTTCTAAATGTTACTTTTGTTGTTGTTATTATTATTATTATTATTATTATTGTTATTATTATTTGTTTTGATTTCCCTTCTCCTTTGTAATAGAACATTGTTAACTTAAAACGTTTACATTGAAAAGCATGGAGCTTTGGCACTTTAGCTACTGTAGTATTTGTTGCAACTCAGGAAATGAAACAAAATTTGTTATAGTCCATGTGTTAACTGTGTTAGATTTATATCATTTATGGTGTCTGTTGGTCTTGATCATTTGGATATAAGGACTACTATTGAGAAGAATTTTTTATTTATTTATCAGAATATTGATGATGGGAGGATAAAAATGAAGCCACATTGCCCCATTGTCACCGATGTCGGGATGAAGGAGAGGGCTATTAGAACTCTTATGTGCTATAATCCGACTTGGCTTCGAATTGCATTATACATTATTTTCGGTGGTGATTCTTTGCTGTCTAATGTGGATGACAATTCTGAACAAGAAAGGGCATTCCTGAAGATGGTAATTGAGAAGCAGTTTCTCTCACATGCGGGTCTTGCAAAAGCTTATGCTTATAACAAGAATGTTGAGGGTTTATACAGACCGGGATACTATGAATCTCTGGGCAAAATTATATTGAAGAGAGTTTTGTTGCTTGTTCTTATACTTGATAGAGCTAAATCTCTGAGCAGTCTTCCTCTTCAGTATGGTATTGATGGGAAGGATGGTGGTTCTCCACTTTTATTTCTGGTGAAATCTAGTATTAAATCGAGTTGTCAATTGATTCATGGTAATGTTCAGTTATTTATCATTTCAGTATTTTGTCAATTGTTTATGAATCTTTCTGTTCAATCTGCATGGTAGTTGACTTACTTCTGTTTCTGCTTCAAAATTAGAGTTCCTACCAACGGATATAATGCATGGAGAAGGTGATCTTCTTGCACATCTGGGGATTGTAGGCTACGAAGTCCCATTTCAGCAGGTATGTTGTTTAATTTTGTAAAATGCTTCGGTGCATGCGTGGGTTCATGTGCATGCGTGTAGTTGCAGCTCAATCTTGATGTATCTCTGCACTTTGTTTAGGCATAATTAAAATATTATTTATCGGAATCTGTGACAAGTAAAATGCATATCTTGGTATAGTGTCCGCTCATAGAGTTTGACTTCAGAGTGGTGGATTTATTTGTGGACCTTCAAGATGGGGTACGGCTGTGTAGAGCAATTCAACTCTTGCAACATGACCCTTCTATCCTTATGGTTAGTTGATTCAATTTCTGTTTCACTCTTTTTCCTCCCTTCAGGAGATTTTACAGTCATTATTGAATGGAATATTTTATGTTAATTTTGTTTTGAGGATTTCTACTCCTGCAGAAAGTGGTAGCTCCATCAGATTCTCGCAAGAAGAATTTAGCAAATTGTGGAGTTGTACTACAGTATCTCCGGAAAGCCGGTGTTTTGTTACATGATGATGATGGACTGACAATTATGGAAGATGATATTGTTAATGGAGACAAGGAGCTTACCCTTGCTATGCTCTGGAATATGTTTGTACACTTGCAGGTGCTTTCAACTTCTTTTTCCTTCCAAATTTGGACAAAGGAAGACAAAGGAAGCCTGAAATTTTCTTTGAAGTGATTTTAGCAATAAAGTATGCTATCTTTTGAATGTGCAGTTGCCACTTCTGATCAACAAAACAATAATTCATGGGGAAATATGCAAATTCAGTGGGTTAGATGAGGTATGCTCTGCGTTGATGTATATCTGTACTTACCAAGGAACGTATATGGAGAAGGATATCAGAAACTAGTCCCTTTTGGAGCTTTTACAACCTATTATTCCCCAATGAGTGAAATTTGCTTATATTTCTTTATCCAGTTTGTGTAAATTCCATCTATAATTTCTTTGGTTTTTTTCAAGTTTATTTTTGAAGTCTTGAAGTTATCATATCTGTGCTCTACTCATTCTCTTCTGCTCCACAGGACCACCAGAACAATATCAGTTGTGCTCCTTTGGAAATGCTTTTGAATTGGATAAAGGTACTTCTGCCATATTAGAAAATGTATAATGATCTTTTGCATATATTAGATGCCATTTACATATGATATAACCATGTGTGTGTTCAATACATGCTATATAGCAGTAACAGGGTAGGTCTGGTGATTGGAAGTTAGATATATTTTTTGCTCAATATACCTTGGCGTTGTCTGTTGTTTGAGGGGT